AGGAGGGTATAAAGGTAAGAGGAGGGTGGAGATATGAACAGGATTTGAGTTTCTGGGCTTGTTGGAGGTGAGTATGTCTTCTGTTCCAGGTAAGAATGGTGTGGAGGGGGAGATAGAAATGGGGTTGCTTGGGTTTGGAGCTCCAAGCCCAATTTTAGTGCACATCCAAAGCATGAGTCTTCCCTCTCTGAAATCTGTGGAAGAAAGGCCCCAGAGAGAGTACATTCTCTCTCTGTGGGGGGGTCAGGTTTTGTTCAACCTCACCCCCCCCCCCCACACACACACACAATGCCTGCAGGCCACTAGTTTAGCTTCACTGTCATTTCAGGAGGGGGCCAGGGACAAAGGTGAAAGCATGTCTCAATTATCATCTGCTCACACCTGAGGGCAGTGGGGAACTCTGTACTGATCCCTGCAGTTGAGGATTGAAAGTCTGAGGTCCTGTTCCTCCATCCCCATGACTCTACCTCTGGGGACACCCACTACGACTCCAATCAACTAATTCAAAGGCCTAACTGCGCTTCTGTTCACATGAGGATACACACATGATGGTGCTGTGGCCTCCCATGGAAGGTTCTCGAATGTGAGAGTAATGGCAGTCATGCCCAGATACCAAGCCATGTAAACCTGTGAGGCCAAGGAGCCTTGGTGAGCTACCGACACTACACCTGAAATGCTGCAGGTGGCACACATGCTCTGCGGTTGCCATACCTGTCCCTACTGTGTGTGCCCACATGCCCAACCTAGAAATGGTGACTTGTTGGGATACAGCTCTGTCCAGCATGGGAAAACAGGTCACTTGCCTTATGGTTCCGGTAGGTCCGGTGCAGCTCTCCTCCAGATTGGTCTGGGTGCCTGCACCCTGAGACTTTCAGTGGCCTGAAAATTTCCTTTGAAACCTGCAATGCTGGACCCTGATCCCTTAGTGTCTGTGAATCTCTCTAGAAGCTGAAGTGTTCCTAGTGTACATCCCAGGAAGGACTGTGTAGGATAACACTGATTCGTCCTTCCTCCTCCATCCTTTCTCCCTTGCCACAGGGAACTTAGGTTTATTGAATTATACCCATTACAGTGCTCCCGAGGCACTCCCATTCCTCTGTGTTTATCTTTAAACTCTCCTTTGTGCTCTGCTTTCCTTATCTGCTAATCACTTATCCCCAAATCAGACCCTGTGATGCTTAGGTCAGATTCTTCTAAGGAGTCTGGATTTTGTATTTGTAAGTGAAATATTGCTTTTTCTCTTTCTCTTATGTCCTTAGCATAGTTTAGAGCAATGTCCTTTTTGTATGGACATAGGAAGACAGCTAATGCTATGCTTTTGTAACTTGGGAGTTAATTGACTCCAAGTAATATTTACTTCTGGGCATCTGTCACACTTACTAAACTTAAGCCTTAGTTGCCCTTCGTTCCTAGCAACCCCAAAGCAGGGTCTCAATGAAGGGACTTGGATGGACCCAGGGCAAGCTGTGAGCTACCCTGGCATTGAAACAGGACAGGCCAAGCACCATAAAATTTATAATAAGAGCATGATCGTGGACAAATTCTGTCATAATCCAAAGAAAAGTGACTGGACAAGAACTCTGCTGGGGATAGGAAGGATTAATCTGACCTGGAGACTATAGTCTGGGACATATAGCAAAATGTCCCCAAGAGAGCCACCCCATAAGCTTAATATATCTCTTACTGTGTCCATAACAAAATAACTAGAAAGATTATTAAGAAGTAAATTTAAAATGATTGTTTAAATGAATATGGACTAAGGAAAGGAGCAATATGCCCTTAGATGGAATTCCGTCCTTGGGCTGATCTCCTAGGGCCAGATCTTTGTCTTAGAAGAGCTTCCCCAAAGGAAGGGCTTTACATAATGTGGTTGTGCTGTCTGAACCTGGGTGTATTTCATACTCTGAACTCTGGGGGATTGGGTGGACAACTAAGGCTGCAAGACTGGACATAGGCTAGCGTGAGGGACAGGAGATGGGTATAGGGGCAGAGAGAAACTGAAATGGGACGTGCAGTAAGTCTGGAACAGGAGCGCAGGGAGAATGGAATAAACTGCAGGACCAAGACTGGAATAAACGGTGTCTGATCAGCAACCAGCTTGGCGAGCGTGTTCCCTCCTTCTGTCGACCATTGGTAGCCAGCTGGGGGATAGGGAAGCGCCTCATGGCCACCAAACCCACGTGGTGAGAGGACCCACAACTCTTTTGAATACACACAGTTCTGGAACCCAGAGCCTCTCTGTCTTTGGACTATCAGGAAGAAGACCCTGCCTCCCTGTCTCTAGGGAGTTCTGCTCCCAAGGGTATTTCTAGCTAGTGGAGAAGATGCTAGAAGCTTTATGTTTTCTCTGGATAAATACAACTATGGAATGATGGGGGCTGAGTTTCCTGGTCAGAGAACAGCCGAGTTTTTTTTTTAATCTGTCATGTTTTCAGTGGGTTTTCTGTGATGTGGCTCACAACAGTCACTTCTGATGACTTTATTAAACACTTCTCATAGGAGACTTCACCCCCAGTTATCAGTCTCCCCCTGTCACCACACAGATGACTGCTAATGAAAGCGACATTTCTTAAACAATATTGGAATAATTTAAAATCAACATAAAATTATAGCAATATAAGAACAATAAAAGATCTTGAGAGACCAATAGAAAATTGTGCCAATTACCGTAAACTTCAATGTGGCAGTTTTAAATATTAAAAGTTTCATATCAAGCAAATCACTTCACAATGCTTTTTCAGCATGTCTGATTTGGGGGGGGGTAAACTCTAAATAATAGTGGTGAATCTTATTGAAACAATGAATCTAATCAAAGCAGATAGAGTGTTAACTAGAATTCATCTGCCTCACAGGGACGGGGAGGGGTGCGGGGTGGGGTTTTATTGGGGTTCTTCAGGGTAAAAAATAAGTATTGGTAAAGGGAAATGTGTTTGATATTTGCATGACTGAGACATAAACCTGAAAGCTTTGTAACCTTTCCCACAGTGATTCAATAAATAAATTTTTAAAAAAATTAAAAAAAATAAAAAAAATAAAAAAAATAAAAAACAAAAGTTTCATATCGACGATCATATCACATACAACGCACTAAATTGTGGGGAAGGAGCTGGTTTTATTTTGTTCCTCAGTAAAGCTGTTTTACAAATATAAGAAACATAAAAAGTAGGCACTAAAAGAGTAAACACTTTAAAAAAATTATAAAAGAAACAATTTATTTCTTTTAGGACATAACATTAATTAAAGAAAGTTACATTTTGAAATCCAAGCCAATTTGTCTAATGTTTTATCTGGTTTGGGGCTAGAATAATTTTTGGATAAATTACTGCATATTATTAAACCTACTTATATACTAATAAGTAACTTGTTAAGCAGTAGCTAAGCATTAAAAGATGAAGTAAACTTTATATTCCTCTTAGCTTTCCCATAGTCTTTTAGGCTGAATGGCCATAAAACAACACATTCTATATCCATAGAGAAAAAACATACACTATCATTTAGGCAGTCTAACTGAGGCAGGAGATCGACATGCAAGACCTTTTTTTTATTTAAAAAAATGGAAGAAATGGGTAGAAAGAAGAGAAAGAGAAAGGAAGGAGGAAAGAAAGAGGGAAGGTACGAAGGAAGGAAGGAAGGAAGGAAGGAAGGAAGGAAAGAAGGAAGGAAGGAAGGAAGGAAGGAAGGAAGGAAGGAAGGAAAGAAGAATAATCTAGTTCCAAATACAATTTTGTTCTGGAATTCTGGGGGTCAGGGTTTAGCCTAAGCTATTGGGGGACACAATTCAACCATCACACTGGTTTAATGAAATAAATTATTTTTCTTATATTTTGCATAGATAAATTTCTGGCCAGATGGGCGATTTTATATTCAGAACATCTCATCCCCTGATACTTATTTCATGGAATACCCTTAGGGCAGCAGGTGGGCACCATAGTTTTCCAGCTCCTGGCCTTGGGCACACCTGACATTGTCCTTGCACAGCAACAAGAATAAGTCTTAGCAGGGTTATAGCTCAAAAATGTAGAAGGGCAAACAACCTTAAAGAAACGGAGGAACAAGTAATAATGGCCCAGAGCATGTATGCCGTTATATAGTAGCTGATAATTTAGCAAGATAAATTACACCACAAAATAGAATAATAATCATGAAACAGATATATCCTTAAAACTGCACGATAGGGGCTGGAGCGATAGCACAGCGGGTAGGGCGTTTCCCTTGCACGCAGCCAACATGGTCGACCCGGGTTCGATTCCCAGCATCCCATATGATCCCCCGAGCACTGCCAGGAGTAATTCCCGAGTGCATGAGCCAGGAGTAACCCCTGAGCATCGCCTGGTGTGACCCAAAAAGCAAAACAAACAAACAAACAAACAAAAACTGCAGGATATGTGCTGCAAAGAGAATTGAGAAAACAATTACTCAATAGCAGAGGTAAATAAAGAACTAAGCACAGATAAACAGGGAGTTCTTAAATTACAGGGTCGCACTATGTGAGAACACATGCCAATAGGTTTGAATCTCTGGACCAAACAGGTAAGTTTTAAGGAAAAGCTGACAGGGCTCGGGACACCTGTCAGCTGAGTGGACAACGCAGGGGAGCAGCCTGGAGGGGGAAGATGAGGGAGGGGTGCCCTGCTGGGATCTCACAAGGGGGTGAGGGGAGTGGGTCCCGCTGGCAACGCACCTCCACCCACGGTGGTCACACCCTTCTTGGGGACAGAACAAGGGCCACTTGGAGCTGGAGAGCCGGACACTAGAGGCAGGATTGTGAGTTTGCTCACCGGGCTTGAGAGATAGCAGAGGAGGTGATGCAACCGGAGATCTGTGGGCAGACCCTTATCTGCTCTGGGGCCACACTGGTGGCAGGAAAGGCCAGAGGCCAGAGGGGTCAGGAGCCCGGCCCTAGGGACACGGCCAGGTTCTTCCTCTGAGCTCGCGCGGGGCCGGCGGGCCGAGAGGGCTCGCACCCGGCCGGCGGCCGCCGGGGCAGCGCGGGGGCGGGGACGGGGCGGGCCGGCTCTGCCCAATCAGCAGCGGCGGAGTCCGAGGAAGCGCCGCGCGGGCGGCCGCCGCGGGGACTCGGGGTCTGCGGGGACCCGGGGAGGTGAGTGCGGGGCCGGCGTCCACCTTCCCGCCGCGTCCTGGGCCGTGAGCGCGCGCCCGGCTGGGTCCCTGCTGGGTCCCCGCGCGCTGTCGGCTCGGACGGGGCTGCGGAGCCGGGCCGAGCCCAGACAGGGCCCCGGGCCGCCTCGGCGCTGCTGCCTGGGCGCGCCTCCTGCTGCTCCCGCCTGCCCGGCACGGCGTGGAAGAGCCAGGCCCGGGGCCCTGAGCCGGGGGCGGCGGGGAGCCGGGTGAGTGTTTGGGGGATGACCGAGTGTCGGGAAGTCGGGTGAGGAGCGGGACGGGAATGCACACACCCGTCTGTATTCACCCAGGAGGTATTGCCGAGCTCCGGAGCACTGCGTGCCAGCACAGGTCACAGGTGGCTCACCTGGATGGCAGGTCAGCCCGACTGGAGCCTGGCTGCCTTTGGAAATCCTCCTGTCCACACTTCAGTCGGCCCCGATGGTGAGAACACAGTGAAGGAGACGCAGCTGCGGAGGTCAGGCTCAGCGGTGGAGCCAGGGGCGGAGGTCCGCAGGACATCGGCTGGTGTCGCCAGGTGAGGGCTGGTTGGGAGCCTGAAAGGAGGTCACCTGAGACTCCCAGGTAGGTGGGTTAGCACCGGGTCCCTGAAAGAAGCCAGGAAGCAGCCACGGAGGTCCAGGTACCTGGCGGTCAGCACATGGCAGTGAGGCAAGGTCCAGAGCATCCCAGGTACAATGCAGGGAGGGAGGGCAGAATCCTGTCTTTAACTGGCCTCAAGGTGCTGAGGCAGGGCACAGGGATAAACAGTCTCAGTGGTCAGTGTGGGAGATGAGTAAAGGTCTAGGAGGTTTGGGGCAGGACACACACATGCCCAGATCCCCCCTAAAGCTAGAGCCATTTTCACAGTGTCGACTGTGGACCAGGTTTTAAAAGGTTGGAAACATGGTTAACATGATCGCAGTGGTATTGCCTTAGTACAGCTGAGGGGCCAGTACTATAGAGATGCCACACTTGCTTGTGGGAATGTTGCTGTAGTGAGGGAACTATGCCCGAGGTGGGACTACTACTGTAACGGGAGGACCGTTGTCACTGTGGGACTATTACTGTAGTAAGGAGACGTATTCATAGCAGTCTATTTCTGTAGTGAGGGACTTTTGCTCTAACAGGTGTAGTTACAACAAGGATAATTTCCAACTACCGGTCACCCTGTCCTGGGGTTGAAGAAAAGGAGCGTCCTCCTGGAGGGGATCAGCAGAGTATAAAGAAGGGACTCTGGGCAGTGGGAGTGCATGGGTCATTGCTGTCCACACTTTGTAGGGGTGTATGCTGAGGGCACGGAGCACAAATGCCCCATAGCTTGTGTTCTGGCCTGGGGAAGAGAATCCTGGTTGGGCAGTGCATGAGGTTCGGGAATTGAGAGTGTCAGCCTTGGAGACAACATGAGTCTTTTCAGGGGTTGGTTGGGGTGGGGTGGGGGTTGTCTCACCAGCAGTGATCAGGAATCACTCCTGGTGTTTGGGGGACCATATGCGGTGATGGGGTTTGAACCCAGGTCAGCCACACGCAAGACCAGCACCTAAACCCCTGCACTGTCTCTCCACTCCATGAACCCTAAAGATCAGAGACAGAATATTGCTGGCAAAGTTTCTATAGTAGCTAAAATGAAACTTCCCAGTTTGACCTTCACCATTGTCCAGAGCATGGTTCTTCCACATCACAGGCGGCAAAATTGAAGTTCAAGGCAGGAGCTGCACAGGGTCTAGGAGGCGGGTGACCCAGGACTTATAGCAGGCAGTGTGCGGTGTGTGTAAGTGTCCAGCTGAGCTCCTTCTGACACCCGACAAGGAGGCTGTGGCAAATTTTTTCACCTCTAGGTGGTATGGCAACCCTGGTTGCCGACTGGTCTCTCCTGGAGTGGCGATCATCGTGTAGGGTAGACATACCTTTAGAATCGGGGTGTTCTGGCCTATGATGGGCAAATGCAGCTTTTATTTCTGGATGTGTTTGGCCTGTTGCAGAGAAGGGGTTGGGTTTGCAGAGGTTCAGACTTCCCCTGGATTGTTGGACCCCCTGGGTCAATCCACGCAGTAAGAAAGACGCAGGAGGGATCTCTGAGCTGTGGGTCACCTCGGGGATTAGGAGGACCACTTCCCAAAGCCAGAAATCTCAGAAATTGTTGGCTTTCTCACAATGAAAAGCCTGGGATTATTACTGGGGCCCTAGGACCCCAGTTAAGGACCTAATCTTGGGCTCACTGCTAAAGAGAGAGTTGTGTTGGCAGATACGATTCAGAACAAATTCGGATTCTTCTTCATCTATCTCATTTCTGAAAGTTCCAGAGCCAAGAAAAGCATGCCAGAGTAGAGTTTGATTTTTGTTCCTTTGTTTTTATTTTTTATTATAGTCTTAGTGATGTGGTTATAATTATGCTAATTTATGATATCTATGTACAAAGTTCCTGTATCCATCACAGCCAATGTACAAAGTTCCTGTACACATCACAATCCCCCATTACTGTCCCTACATCACCTCAAATAACTGCACCATAGATGCATTCAAGACTGGTTTTTATTTGGAGGGGGGGGGAGGGTTGCGTCCTGGCTTTCTGCTCAGAGTTCTTGGAGGACCATGCATTGCTGAGGACCAAACAGGGTTGACCACATGTTAGCAAGTCCCTTGACCCCTGTTCTCTTTGCCCTGAAATTTTTTTAGCCTTTACAGGGTTTGCAAGCATCTTAGAGACAGAGAAATAGTTGACAGATTTTCTAAAGTAAGTGCTGCTGAAGAAAGGGCAGAGGAATTCTCTTCCCTTATTTTAAGGGGCAATTGAGTATTCTGTGAATTTGGCCTGACAAACCCTGTCAGGTCTCCTCCTGCTCCTGACCACCCTGCCCCACAGCATTTCAGGAGGTTGTGGGGGAGCAGAGGCAATGGTGTGGGGGAGGTGCTCCCTACAACTGGGCCCAACTGACCCCAGGACACCTGGGTTTGGTGAATTGACCCTAAGTGGTTCTTGGGTCCATGTGCACTCCTGGAGGGACATGGGATGTGCAGGGAAAGAGGGCACCAGCTGGCTGAAAGTCTCTCGAACCCATCTGGGAGTTGGGGAGAGGAGCAGTCGTTGTTGCTGCTGAGGGGATATAGACCCATGGGATCATCTCTATGTTCCTTGGATCAAAGGGAAAAAATTCCTTATCAGCTGCACCTGAGGACCACAATTTAAAGTGATGGAAAAGCTTATCAAGTACAGAGGTCTCCATTGAAAGGCAACCAAAGAGGCAGATGAGAGGTTTCTGGGATCAGTGTAGAAGAAAGTGACAAGCTGGGAAACAAGCATGCTGGGTAGTGGATTTGGGGAAGAAGCTTATGGGGAGCTAGTGGGCAGGGCTGTTGTGGTTGTATGCCTTCTTCTGTATGATGAGTTCCTTCTGCTACTGTGGGGCTGGGAGCTGGGCAGGGGGTGGGGCTGTCTTCACAAAGGACGTGCTGCTTCTTTCAGGAAGACGGCAGTCTAAAGTTTGTCTCTCTTCCTTTCCTCCTTCCCTTCCTCCCTCCCTTCCTTCCTTCCTTCCTTCCTTCCATTTGTTTTTGGACCACATCCAGTGGTGCTCAGAGCTTACTCCTGGCTCTGTGCTCATGGCTCACTCCTGGTGGACTCAGGGAACCATATGGGTGCCAAGGCTCTAATCTGGGTTTGCTGTGTGCAAGGTAAACACCCTACCTGCTACACTATCACTCCGCCCCTCTCCCCACCTTTTTGAGAGGGATGTTGGTGGCTCATATCCATTGAGCTTGAGGGCTTTTCCTGGCTCTGTGCTTGGGGGTCATTTCTGGTGATGCTTGAGGAACCAGGCAATGCTTGGGATTGATCCAGGCCTTGCCCGTGCATGTTTTGTATGTGCTTAACCCATTAAGTTATCTCCCTGTCCCTTTTTTTCTTCTCTTGTGTTTCTTTTTCCCATACCTGGTGGTTCTCAGGGTTTACTGACTCTGTGCTCATGGATCATTCCTGGCAGTGCTCAGGGATCATTTCTGGCAGTGCTCAGGGGACCATCAACAGTGCTGGGGGTTAAATTCAGATTTGGCGAAGCAAGCACCAGACTGAGTGCGCTAGTTTCCCAGCCTCATTCTTTTCCTTTCTTTTTGTTTTTTATATTGAATCACCGTGAATTTCAAAGTTACAAAGATTAGTGGTAGGTGAATAATTTCTCTCAGTCTGTCAGCTGGCTTTGTATTCTCTCGTTTCCTTTGAGGTACAGAAGCTTCTCAGTTTAATATAGTCCCATTTTTTGTCTCTGCTTCTTATGTGGTCAGTGGCGTTTCATCCTTAGAGATAGCTCTAGCTTCAATATCTTGGAGAGTTCTGCCTATATTTTCTTCTGTATACTTTATAGATTCAGGTCTGATATCGAGGCCGCTAATCCATTTTAATTTGACTTTTTTACACGGTGTTAGAAAAAGGTCTGAGTTTGCTTTTTTGCATGTGACTGATTAGTTTTTCTAACATAATTTATTGAGGAGGCTTTCCTTGTTCCACTTCATATTTTTTGCTTCTTTATCAAAGATAAACTGAGCATATACCTGAGGGTCTATCTCTGGATTTTCTATTCTATTTCATTGATCTGAGTGTCTGTCCTCATTCCAGTACAATTCTGTTTTAATTATTACCACTTTCTAATACATTTTGAATTTGGGGAAAGTGATGCTTTCTATATCTTTTCCCTCTAAGATTGCTTTAGCTATTTGGGCAGGGGGAGGGTGTTACTGTTCCATATAAATTTTGGGAGTGTTTGATTTATTTATTTTTAAAATGTCATGGATATTTTTATAGGTACTGCATTGAATCTGTATAATGCTTTGAGGAGCATTGCCATTTTGATAATGTTAATCCTCCCAATCCATGAGCAAAGTATTTTATTTCTTAAAATAATTTTTTGTAGTTTTTTTTTTTTTTGTATAGGTCTTTCACCTCTTTAGTTAAGCCATTCCTAGGTATTTGATTTTCTGAGACACAATTGTGAATGGGATTTTTTTTTTAAAAAAACTTTCTCTTCTATTTCATTATTCGCATATAGGAAAGCTGTGGGCTTTTGAGTGTTAATTTTGTAACCTGCCACTTTGCTGCACAAATTAATTGTTTCTGGGAGCTTTTTTTTTTTTTTAGAGTCTTTAGGGTTTTCTAAATATAGGATCATATCATCTTTCAAGGGCTGGAGCGATACTGGCCGAGCTGGGTTCGATTCTTCCTCTTAGAGAGCCCAGCAAGCTACTGAGAGTATCTTGCCTGCACGGCAAAGCCTGGCAAGCTACCTGTGACATATTCGATATGCCAAACACAGTAACAACAAGTCTCATGATGGAGACTTTACTGGGCCTGCTTGAGCAAATCGATAAATAACGGGAGGACGGTGCTACAGTGCTACATCATCTTTCAAGAATAAAAGCTCGACTTCTTTCTTTCCTGTCTCGATGCCCTTGATGTCTTTTTCTTGCCCAAATGCTATGGCAAGTACTTCCAATAGCATGCTGAAAAAAAGTGGTGAGAAGGCAACCTTGTTTTATGCCTGTTCTTAA